TTATTAAACCAAAAATAAAAAATAATTAAAGAAAAATAACAAAAAACAGAGAAATTTTAAATTATATTTTCATATTTATAGTTTATTTAAAAATAAAAACATTACAATTTCTCAAAATCACATAAAATCATATTATAACATCGATTGAGACAAATAAAAAAGAAAACATTAAAATTGAGATGTATCTTGTTACATTGTGCGAGTACCCTTCTAGTAATTTAATGGCTGAAATGTAAAATAAAATTTGAACATACGAAATAAAAGATGGATGGTGGCTTAGGGAGGCCATGAGGCAGAGACAGACCCATAATTTTTTTTTTCAAACGGTGGCACCATTTGACTATAAAAAAAATCTATAGGAAAAAAAATTAAATGATAATACCATTTGACTATAAGAAATAAATATACGGAATTTTTTTCAATCAGTGGCACCATTTGACTAAGAAAATGACACTAACACGATTCGAACTTGGGTCTAGGGTGGAATAAAAGTTTTGCAAACCAACTCTACCAAATAAAACTTGTTTTCATTATAGTTTCAAAATAAATATGGTGACACACAAAAGATTAATACGATTGCACCTTTCACGAATCTAAATTCTTCTACCCTTCAATGAAGGAATAATACGGTGACATGTATCACCGTAACCACCAGAGTAGGTCCGTCCCTACCATGAGGTGGGAGAGAGATGACAACCGTTGAGGTTGGGGATAAACAGTGGTCATGACTCGTGAAAGGCTGGTAGATAGGAGACGTGACGATGATCATGCTGACGAGGTTAATGATTTTGTACTATATAAGTCGTTGATGAGTAAAACGGAAAGACGTTTGGATAACAGGCATGTGTTAATGGTAAAGGTTGGATTTAGCAGATTATCATGTATATAAATGGCTCGAGGGGGCAAAAATGTCTATGATAATCAAATTGATATGGGTTGGGTAACTAAGGAGATAACTTGTTATCCTTGACATACAAGAATCAGATTTTGACCTAGCAGCATGTGAGTCATTGGCTTTAGGAGGTCAAGGGTTCAAACTTCACAAAAAGGTGGGAAGGGTGTGTGGGCTTAACCTAGTATGAGCATATGGGCTTGGCCCAATATTAAATATGGGCTTGGCATAAAAGTGAAATTACAGGCCCATGATATGCAATCAACAAGAAGAAGGTGTGGGGGGAGACAGTTTGATTCTTGAGAGCAGCAGCAAAGGGGGAATCGTCAACAGTGAAAGCTGCACGGTGGGAGGAGACCGGAGGAGGAAAATGGCGGTGGCGGGGGTGGTGGCGCGGAATGGTTTGGTGTCGTCACGTCCGGTGACGTTCGTGACGGGAAATGCTAAGAAGCTTGAAGAAGTTAAAGTTATTTTAGGGCAATCCATTCCCTTTCAGTCACTTAAGCTTGACTGTATGTGTATTGTTCTGTTCTTCTGCCTAAATATCACCGAAGTCGTATCGTGTTTTAGTGGTGTTTTGATTGATTGATTGATTGATTAACAGTGCCAGAACTGCAAGGCGATCCGGAGGATATTGCAAAAGAAAAAGCTCGTTTGGCCGCTAACCAGGTACATTCGTATTCTGTTATCTCTATTGATGATCTTCCAGTGTTGCACTTTTTTGATTTGGAAACGTGTGTGTGTAGGTGAAAGGGCCGGTGCTGGTTGAAGACACTTGCCTATGTTTCAATGCTCTTAAGGGTCTCCCTGGTTAGTTACAGTCAGTTTCTTTGTTTTGTTTCATATCATAGCATTTTGGATCGAAAATAGGATTATAGTTGATGAGAAGCCATGATCAGTTAACAAATGAAATTCTTTGCAGTTTGTTGAATTGTTGATTCTAGCGTTTTGTCTCGTATCTTCAACCCATCTTTAGAATTTTTCAAAGAGTTCAAACATAACATTCTGCATTAATTCTTTTGCAGGGCCGTACATGTAAGTCTCCATTGTTGCACTCTCTTTTCTCTCTTGAGGTGATGTTTTAAAGCCTCCTGTTAAATTGGCTTTCATAAAGCATTGATCACAAGTTAAACCCTTCATAATTTCATTCAGTAATTGCTTATATAAACCTTGTTATAGTCTTAGCTCCATTGACATGATTGCGCGATCTGTTTATGTTGTTAACCAGACTTGGTGGCATAAATTAAGCCATCTCTTATGAGCTTAGGTAGGAGTTTGGGTGTTGCACAGAATTTTATTTGCTTTTCATGCATCAACCAGGGATATTTACCTGAATGAATCACTACATCTTAGAGCAAGGGGGGTGGATAATTCTGGTGGTGGAATAGGTTACGCCTTACATTGCATGAGAAAGAAACCTCTGCATGGGTGCTTGGCTGGGGTGTTAGGGGTGTGAGGAATAGGAAATGATGTTTTGGTTCCATATATAGAATGAGTGATTACTTAAAAGTGGGTAATCATCCATACCCTAGTAAATTGTGGGTAAATGACTTTTCATTCCCCAACATTCTTATTTCTTATCATACCCATTCCATTAACCGAACCAAGCACCCCCTTAATGTCTAAATAGCTTCAGTGAACTGCAAGAAGCCTTATAGCAACATCCATGTCTTATGCTTGCAGTGCAACTTTATATTATAACAAAGCATACTATATAAACCGAAAAATGTATTTTATCTTGTAAAACCCCATCTCCATGTGAATCCGGCTGGCTAGGAGAAGAACTACCAAACCTGGACATGCCAAGTGCATATTAGACACATGGAAGTCTCACTATATAATGACCGAACCAAATGCGTTCTGCAAGTTTAATCGCCCAATGTTCAGAACCCAATTTTGATGAACTAATTTCAAACCCTGGATTTTTTGCTTCTTGGTTAATTGTGGAAGCATCATGTGTTTGTAGGAATGAAAGGGTTAGTGTTATAGATGCCTTTGTCAGTTAGTCGCCGAGAAGTATGCCAGGTGTGGGCCAGCTGCTTCCGGTTTACCAGTAAATCATAGCCTTTTGTTGAGGTAAATGGTTCAAACCTCACCAAAGGTGAGGAGTGTGCCTGAGTATTTGCCATATATAAATACCATATACTTCAAAAAATAATGTATGCTAGGCGTGGGCTAGCTATTGGCCACAGCGATTCCTAGATCAGGGGAAGTTTCTATGAGTGTGTCATTTATCTGATGGCTAGCTAATGGTTTAGTATTGTCGTTTAATTTTAATCAAGCTCCTAGATTAAAAGAAGTTATTTTGATTATGGATATTTTGTTGGTTTTACTTCTATGTGGGTGACAAATGCTGATACATAGCAAGTGGTTTCTCCAAAAGCTTGGTCATGAAGGTACTTAAAATAACTTTTATCCAAAAGTTTACCTTGATGTTGAGCTTTACAAATATCATGGTTGTTGAGTACTTCAATCATTTCTGTAGGTCTAAACAATATGTTGATGGCTTATGAGGATAAATCTGCCTATGCTATGTGTATATTTTCACTTGCCATGGGGCCAAATTTTGAACCCATTACGTTTGTGGGAAAGACCCAGGTATGCACTTTTAACACGTATTCTTTACATGCTAATCAGAAATGATATCTAATGGTCTAATTGATCTTTCTGTGATTTGAGATAAAAACGAAACCAAACTAACCCAATGAATCCCACATGGAGTAGCCAAGTAGGGTCCGTGGAGGGTTGGATCTAGTAATGTAGACCTTACCTCTACCCTGAGGAGTATGAAAAAACTATCCCTCCGTCCCGAAATAGAAGTTACAGAATTCTATTTTAGTTTGTCCAAAATAAGTGTCCAATTCTTTTTCCAAGAAAAAAAATACCGAAGGCCCGTTTGGTTTGTGGAATTTGGAATTGAAGTCCATTCCAATCCTTTTGAAGGAAAGTTTGAATTTGAAATTCTGGGATTTCATTCAAATCCCACAACCGATTGATTTAGAAATCTCTTGGAGATGGTTGTCATTTCAAATCCAAATCCCATGGATTTCAACCGTTTCCATCACATCTCTACCCCGTGTCTTTCATCAAATCTGTCCTAATCTATCCATTGCATCCACATCTTACTGAAACAAACAACTTATTTATAGAACACACAAATTTTTACAAAAAAATAAATAAATTCCATTCCAAATCCTACAAACCAAACACACCAAATATTCCAATCCTTCCACAAAATCCAAATCCCGCAAAAACATTTTGTCAAACCAAACAGGCCCCAAGTGTCCACTTCCAAAGGTAAAATTGCCTACTTTCCAATCTACCCGTAATCATGAGATGTTGAAATTCATTACTCCCTCAATTATTAAGGGTAAAATAGTTATTTAGTTGCTTAAAAAGTGTAATAACCACACATTTCTAAAACCATTTGTCTTTTTATTGTGGACATTTATTTCGGGACAGTGGGAGTACTAAAAGGGATTGCACCAACTTGCTAAGAGATGATTGCAAATATGTATGAAGGGTTCTACTACATGTCGGTTTAATTGGTTTTACAAACAATTTAACACAAATAATGTACTCTTTCAGGGGAAGATTGTTCCTGCAAGAGGACCAAATGATTTTGGATGGGATCCAATCTTTGAACCTGACGGCTATGATCAAACGTAACACCATCCGTGCATCTATTTCTATACGACCATCTCCATAGTTCTTGATCGTACGACAAAAAACTAATTTGACAGGGTTGTGTTATTACAGTTATGCTGAAATGGCGAAGGAAGAAAAGAACAAGATTTCTCATCGGTCGAGAGCTCTGGCACTGGTGAAATCCCACTTTGCAGAGGCTGGGTATGTATTTGATACATGAGACTGAAACTATTTTCTATGGAGATGTATGACCTTAGATTCATATTTTTACTTGTGAACAAGGGTCTTCTGTTTGTTGGTATGATTTTCTCAATTTGCATTTGATCCAAGGGAAAGAATGACAAATGTATTCAAGAGTAGACATATCCACTTTGTATTTTTGGTTGAATACACAAGTAATTGGATCCAAAGCCAACCAGTGATGCATAAAAAAGCCCAAGTTTCACCTAAAAAAGTCCGGGCCTAGTGAGCCTGAAAAAGTCAGGCCCTGAAGCATGGTTCTGGTCGGGCCTTAGAGCTAGTGATGGCCAAACCAGCCGGAGGACCGGGCCTGACCCGGGACTGGTAAGGACCGGTTATAGGACCGAAATCTGGGACTGGTTATGGATTTGGGGTGTTTCGCGGGACCGGACCGGTTATGGACCGGCCCGGCCTGGGCCGATTTTTAAAAAATGTAACTATTTTTTTTTAAATGTAGCCGTTTTTTGGCCAATTTTTTTGTATTTTTTGCTTTAAAAACACTATATATAAGTGTCTTGGTTGAGGGATTTACATACCAAGTTCTCAATTAACAAAAACGCAAAAAAAACGTTCACAATTATCAGTTTCTCGCTATATTTTGTAAGACTATAATTTTAATTATAATAAAATGCATTTTAAAGTGTATTTGACTGATCCAATTACAAATTTTATAATGTATTAAAATATATATCATTAAAAAATAAAATAAAATAAATACTTCTTAATGACCGGGACCGGCGCCCATAACCAGTTACAATAAAGCTTGACCGGGCTCAACTTTTTCGAGCGGGACCGGAACTAGTTATGGCCGGTTATGAGAAATCTTGGGACCGGCCTGGCCTGAGACTGGTTTTTGGCCATCACTACTTAGAACGCAATCAGGTTGAAATTTTGGGGACGCTCTGATAAGTGTGAAAAGTCCAAAAAAAATCCCAATAAACCCGTTTTCAACCCAAAGCCTGCCTCGGGTTTGGCCTAAAAAGGCCGAGTTTTTTCTCTCACTGAAAACGGGCCTAAAATGCACAGGTCTCGGGGCCGGGGTGCTTAATGAATGATTAATTAAAAGATGGTAATCATTTATATCCTTATAAACCCGTGAGAATGATTTTTTAGTCTCCATTATTAACTTTTTACCCCCTTAAAATAAACCCGGGACGATGGCCACTAGTAATAATCAGAGGCATCTCGAATCAACCGAAATTTGATAAAACTTAGAGGTCGTTTATTAAGCACTTATCAAGTAAGTGCTTATTGGTAAGAGTCATCATCCTTACTTATCTCATCGAGTAACATTTCCAATTATCAAAATGGATCAATAGTAAGCGTCTTTTACCTCGTACATCTTTACAGGTAAAAGTTTTTTCTGTCATTTATCTGGTAATATTATTGATCCTTGTTATGCCTCATACCGAGTAAGATTTTTGGTCTTTGTCATGCTCACCGGATAAAACAAGTGACATCTAGTAAGTGCATATTTGTGTTCTTTCATTTAATTTTATTTGAACTTTGAAGAAACTTGTGGAGAATTGGGGGAAAATCTTAATGAAGGATTTCAATTATATCATGGAATTTTAAATTCGGACAATCCAACAAACTAAACATGGGATTGAAATGAATTTGAAATGTAAATCCCTCAATTCCATTCCATTCATTCAAGTCAAACGGGACCTAAGAGTTTAGTTACTATTAGTTATTTTATATGTTATTAGTAAAATTAATTATTGTTAATTTGCTTTGTCACGTCAGTTATTTATTAGTGACTTAGGGACCGTTTATTAAATGCTTATCCAGTAGGTGTTTACCGGGTAATTTTTCTCACCGGATGAACACGTCAAGACCCAAGAATCTTACTCAGTAAGAGTGATCATAAGGATAGAGAGTCTTACCCTGTAAGTGAGGGTAACAACAATTACCCGGGTAAGTGATTGTTGCATATCATTCCATTTTGATGTACTACGATCTTATCCATAAAATAAATTATAGTGTTGATTTATAACGATAAACGCTTACCGAGTAAGCATTTAGGTAAACAACCCCTTAGAAAAACCTCAATATAATTAAGGATAATTTGGTAACTAATCAATGAAAAATAAATATTTAGTAACTAAATAATATTTTTTATTATTATTTAATTATGTATAATAGTTATTTAAATTATNTTTTAATTTGGAAAATCATTGAAAGAGTATTTTTTATTTTCAATTAAAATAAATATCATCAATAATTTTTTTTAACTGTAAGTATTCTTTTGTAAATGTAAGTACATTTTTGGTATATTTGTTTTATTTTATATTATAAGTACTTTTTTGGTTCAAAAAAATGTTTAGGAATTTAATCGTTCAAAATATAAAAGTCTGTTGATTTTTTTCCAGATTTTTTCCATTATTTTACCATATTAACAAGTTGTATAGGTCATAAGAATGTATCTAACAGGTTTTACAAAAATCAAGAAGTTATTTAACAGGTTTTGGAATGTCTAATGATTTATTTGTTCCAAAAATTTGTTCAATGACTTAATCATTCCAAACACTAAAGTCCATTAGTTTTTAAAAAAAAATTCCTTTATATGTGAATCAATTTAGAACTTATACGCGGAATTCTGAATCAATTTATGGTTCGTATGTGAATCTTAAAAAAAAAAATATCACCATAGATCTCAAATTATAGATAATGAAATTCTTTTTTTGGTATAATTTATTTAAATAAAATATTGATTATATTTTAAATAATTTAATTTAAAATAAAATGGTTGATCTAATTATTATTTAAAAAAAGTGGGTAAATATTAAAAAAAAGTGCATTAGTGATTTAGGTTATGTTTGGCAAACTAGCTGATAAGTTAGCTGGTGGCTGATAAACTAGTTGGTATCTGATAAACTAACTGATGAACAAATCATGTTTGACAAAAATTGCTAATAAGAATATAAAAATTAATCAATTATAGTATTTCAAAATATAATTGAAACATATCTAATAATATAATATATTAATTAGTACAAATAAGATGATAAAAAAATAAAAAATAATATATTTGTTTATTCTAATTTTTAAAAAAATAAAACTTATTTACAAAGAGTCGTTAGGAATAATTTTAAAATAAAAAATAAAAAATAATATATAAGTTTATTCTAATTTTTAAAAAAATAAAACTTATTTACAAAGAGTCGTTAGGAATAATTTTACAAGAATTATAAAGGAATTTGTTGTTAATAATATTATTTGAAAATTTGTTATAATTAGTAACCTTGAGAACTGATGCATCACGTGCTATTTTTACATGATTTTTTTCATCTGTGCTTTGTATTTAATGTATTAATTAATATATATTTGTTTTACAATGTGAACATTTTTATGTATTTGTTAAACAAAAAAAATATAACTAAAAAACTTCACATTATGCACCGAATACATATGAAACAAATGTATGTTAACCAATATATTACGTTCAGTTAGACAATTAACAATGGTCCTGAAACTTAAAATTCTTAAGTAAACCCTTTTATAAAATTCGTAAAGGTTTCAAGGCAATCACAAGGGTGATGTCTGATTAGTTTGAGCTTGAGCTTCAAAGATCAAAAAGTGTCTGGAGCTTGTGGCCATAGAGATTCAAATACGATGACTTTAAGCTACCTACAGGGCCGTCCCTGGGGGAGGGCGACACGGGCACGCCTAGGGCCCAAAAATATCAGGGGCCCAAAATTTTCCCTTAAAAATACAATAGTAGTCTAAAATGAATTTAATGAAATAAATAAACCCAAAAAATTGTAACATATAATAAGAAGTAAAAAAAATTAGTATATAATAAGGGCCCAAAAATATTTCAACTAATTATATTGGAGAAGAAAGTAAAAAAAATTAATTGGTCATTCATTATATGCTATTGTTTATTGTCTCTCTAATTTTTTTTTATCTTCAACAAAGTCTAATGATATCGGTTATTGTTATCTCTATATGCTTGGCTGTTTTCATGGTTCAACAATTCAACGTTAAAATCATGTGCTTCTTATTGCTATATATTTTTGTTGGATATTTTTATCAATTTCTGCTTATATTGACTATTGTTATTTGGTTATGTTGTTTTAATTGTTTTTGTTGACTATTGTTATCTATTTTTGCTTCTACATAAAATATTTTACTATTGTTTGACAATTATTTTACTATTGTTTGACAATCAATCTATTGTTCTTATAATTTATGACGTGTTTCATAGTTTAGTGATTAATCAATAATTTTTTTCTACTAGATATATTTAGTAATGTCTCTTATATATGTCATGTTCAATAAATTTTTAATCTTAACATCTTATTTTAGTTGAGCAAAAAAAAAAAAAAAAAATTTAAATATTTTCATCAATTATTTGACTTATATATCTTTCATTGGGATTCCACCGCACTACAAGATTCTATGTAAGTACTCAAACAATCATTTGTTGAGCTTGCATATTATATGTTTAATTCATTATTGATTCTTATTAGATCTCAATGAATTATTTTTTCTTTCATATTCGTATTGATCCTCATTTGTCTACTTGTCTAGAAAACCTTGATAACTTATATATTATTGATCTCTCATTAACCCTCATGATTACTTCATTCACACGAATTCTCTTCTTTTTTTTTATCAAAATAACACATATTTTTGTTATAAACTAACCATAGTTTTTATACTTTTGGTTTCAAATTACCTAATAAAAAATACGTAAATTTAAGTAACCACAAGAGTGGTGCCTGATTGGTTTGAGCTTGACTCTAATGGTCAAAAGTGTCTGGAAGTCCCATGTTCAAATACAAGGAACAAAAATCCCCTTGTGGTCATGAAGACTTAAATGTGGTGGGCCATGTTTTTACGTTAGCACAGGTCCCATAAAATGTCAGGAACGGGTCTGGCTACCTACAAAATATGTGGTCATCTTAGAATTATTCAGCTTGCATGAGAGGTTGTATAAGGCGTTGCATGGACCCCACCATCCATAAAATGAAAAGAAAAAAAACAAACCAAATTCGTTAGTAAAAAGTCATATATCATCACATGGAGGGACACACTCTACATGTAATGCTTCCACGCAAAAAGTGATCCTCGTGCACCAACATATTTAATGACAAATCCATGTATTTAAGATTTTATAAATTAATATATTTTAAAAATCTATATTTATACTATATTATAAAGCATTTGACAAAAACTTTTAAAAACCATTTTTTTATGCATGAAGTACTGTATATTGATGTATATTACTTAAAATTTAAGATTACAAGTAATATGCATAAGTACAACTTATTAAAGTTCGATGTTTAAATTTGTATAACTAAATGTGGATAAATATAATCAAATAGAGAATAAACATCTCATTTTAAATATAAAAAAATCCAAAAACATAATTAGGATAATTATCGAATTCTAACAAAATAATTAATTATTATCTTTATAAGAAAATTATATTATTTAATAAAGATAATAATTAATTATTTAATCAAATATAAATTACTTCGTTATTGAATCTAAATTGAATTATAATAAAAAATTGAATAAAAAAATTACACAAAAAATGAGGAATTTTAAATAGTTAATTTGATACTGATATCGATATATTTTTGTCAAGTTTTTATGATATCTTCAAATTTATATTTTATTCAAAAATAAAAACACTATTGTTTTCTCAAAATCACATAAGACCATATTATAACATCGACTGAGATAAATAATAAAATAAAATATTAAAATAAGATGTATCTCGTTGTATTGCGTGAGTACCCTTCTAGTATATAAAAAAGGTTGAGTTTTAATGAGGATGAAAGTTATGTTAAGAAAATATTTATGTATTTGGATTACTTATAATTAAAGATCAACAATAATGCGATGCATCAAGATTCACTGAATCAATTCTCGTATCAAGCGTAATTGATGAGGTGGGGGTGACTGATAAAATTGAAAGTGATCAAAGATTCAAATCCATTCGTATGATTTTTATCTTAACTCTCATTCTTACATGATCGTCCGTGTACAAAAAGAATGTTGCATTCTTGCGATTAAGAAAACATTAAAGAGGTTAGAATATATGATCGTTTTAACCACAAGGGTGGTGTCTGATTGGTTTGAGTTTGGCTCTAAAGATCAAAAGTATCAGGAGATCCCAAATTTAAATCCAATGAGGAATAAAAATACTCTTGTGGTCACGGAAGTTCAAATACGATGACTCTGGGCTATATATATATATATATATATATATATATATATATATATATATATATATGTGTGTGTGTGTGTGTGTGTGATCATTTTCAAGAAATTTTCTATCGTCAATTTAAAATAAATAATTAAAAGCTAAAATCTTTAAATAAATAAAATATAATTTCAGCATATTTTTTATTTTAAAGTTTTTAATATTAATTATATTATTAAAATATTTCATAATTTACCATCTCAAACATATTTTTAGAATAATTTTATATTAAATAATAATAATTTAATATTAAAAAGGATTAAAAAAAACTTACTTCTCTCTCATCCCAGTAAATCTGAAGAGGATTTTCTAAGATGTTGTTTGTTTACCTTTTAATAGTTTTATTAAGAGACATCATTTGAATTGTTGAGGGGTGAATCTTGTTTGACAAAAAAAGTCTGACTCTTAACTATTATAAAATCATCTAAATGATTTTGCATCATGGGCCTCCCTTAGGGTTTTTTTTACTTCTTAATAGTTTCATTAAGAGGCAACCTCTGAATGTTTAAGAGATGAATTTTGTTTGGCAAAAAAAATGTGCTTCTTAATGTTTCTAAAACTCTCTGAATGATTTTGTATCATTGGTCTCCTTTAACCATGCAGCACCCAAGTTCCATTGTAAACAATTATCGAACAATTATATTTTATTTTTTACTATATCATGAGAGTCTCTTAAGCATTCTACACCAAATCATTCAGCAACTGCCAATACATCCTCTTAACCATTCAACACCATATTTTCATTGTAAACAATTACCAAACAATTATATTTCATTTTGCATCATATCATGAGAGCCTCTTAATCATTCTGACAACTTATTCATTCTGCACCAAAACATTCAGCAACTAGCAAAACCTTTATTAGTCTATTATTTCTCTATTTTAAAGAACAATATAAAAAATCTATTAAAGCAAATCTTTATTTTCTCTATTTTAAAAAATAACCTCGAAAATGCTGTTATTGTCGATTCAGAGATCAAATACTCAGAGATTCTAAATGAATTTCTTTTATACTATTTTTTTTTAAATATTAAAATTTATTTATTTATTTGATTAACCTGGATATCCAACCCGCTATGTGAGCCGACTAATCCCAGGGCGACCACTTGCTTTGCAGATAGCCCGGAGTCATCGCATTTGAACCTCCGTGGCCACAAGGGATTTTTATTCCTCATTGGATTTGAACCTATGACCTCTTGATACTTTTGATCTTTGAAGTAAAGCTCAAACCAATCAGACACCATCCTTGTGATTTAAAATATATTTTTTAGATTCATAATGTTGTAAATTGATATAGAAGAAGGATTTAAATAAATAGAGAAATAATTTGCATAGAAAAACCATATCTAAATGGATTGGGAAAATATGAATGATTGGATGGGAAAACATGTTGTGAACAAGAATCCAATGCTCATTTGAGACAATATGATTACAAGCTTTGACAAAAGAAAAGGTTTCTAAACCTTTTTGCTGCTAATAATTATAGTGTAAAGTTTGGTTCTAGTCCATCATATTTGTTCATTTTTACGGTTCTAGTCCTTCGACTTCATTTAATATGTTTTCGTTCTTCACTTTTGTTAATTTTTAAGGGATTTCGTCCTTCCGTCTAGAATATTCATTAACTCTTCCTATTAAATTTATTTAGATCATTTTATCATTTTCCATTAAAAAATTTAAAAGGAAGTATATTATATTGTATATTTACTTATTATACATATTAATAAAGACCGATCCTTGTTGCGATCAAACACCGTCACTTCATATGTTGAAGCTTAAGTCTCGTAAGAAATTGGTGACCTGATGACAGGGGAGCCGGCGACCGAGGGTTAAAGAGAGCCAAAAAAGGATCTTTCGTGACTAGATGGAGCTAAAGATTCTCAAATCTTGAAGTTGTTCACAGAAATTTCAACGAATTTCGATTACGTCCAAGGAATGTGCACCAGAAGGTGCAAAATAAATTCATAGTTTGTGTTCTCTAGAAGTTGAGAATTGTAAAGTATTTTCGGTAGCTTTTCACCTCCTCAGGTACTTCCGTTAAGGCGGATCACGATCTCTCCATCCCATCTTCGTCTCCATATTCATAATGACATGGGTTTTTTGTTTGATTTAGGTTTAGGGGTTTATGGTATTGATTTTAGGGTTTGGATCACAATTTTTTTTGAATGATTTACGTTCTTGTATCTCAAATTGTTCGTGTTATAATATATTGTTGAAGTTCTTGAGTTTGGAATTGTATTTGATTTCAGATTTTGAATATCATATACTTGTTTTTGAATTTGAATTTGTAATGGTGGTAGGTGAAGGGGAATAGTGATGGATGGTGAATGGTGGGTGAGGATTTTGGGTTTTATTTATATAATATATAAATGTATTTTTATGTATTAAGAAAAAAAAGTAAATGAAAATAGACAAAAATGTCCCTCGTTTAAATGCATTTAACGGGAATAGTTAATTTATTCGTTAAAGATTAACAAATGCGAGAGACAAAATACCGATGAAATGAAATTGAGGGGGGAGAATTGCTAAAATGAACAAACGTTAAAGACAAAAACAAAACATTCAAATCACAAGGGACTAAAGACCGAATAAATGAAGTTGAGGGACTAGGGTCGTAAAACATGATTGTAAAGAAACCAAAATCATGACCAACCCTTTCAAATTCAACACCAACAACATACAAAAAAGTTGGAACAAGATGATGCTTTGGCTTTTGCCACACCACAAAAGCAACTAATCTAACAAATGTGTTACATTTTTTCTTATTTGTAGAACAAGATCAAATAAATAGCAGCATTTCACATGTTTTTATTCATAATCTACAATATATATATAAAACAGTTGTATGTGTGAAGAGTAATCAAATGAGGTTCCACATATTCTAAACTAAGAATAACGTCCTTATTATTTGATTAATGAGTTCGTGACATTTTCATCGGTTTTTATATGCATCTTTTCTAAATTGTGGTGGGTCCACACTTTCCATATGATAAGATAAACAAATAAAAGAGTTTCAATTTCAATTTGAAAATACAACTTGTATGACTCCAGAAACCAAAAATAAAAAGACCATCCAGATCATCTCATCTAAAACCTATATACCTAGTCAAATCTAAACACAAATTAGTAGACAAATGAAAGCACACATACGAGGAACAACGCTTCGCACCTGCTCCTGAAATTGGTGATGCGTTCGGTTGAAGCTTGGCCGAGGTTGCACACAACACAACACAACACTGCCGTGCACGGGTAACTCGATTTAAAAAAAGCAGCACACTTGCCAGGAATACGGCAAGAAAAAAAAAAGAAGGAAAATGTGGATGAATAGCGAACACACGTGAAAAATTAAAGAAATGAAATGAGGATAAAGGCGGGTTGTGGGTTACTGGTTAGCTTAGCTAGCATTGGTGGCCTCTACGACACTTGAGAACACCAGCATTGGAGGTGATGCTACCAACCATGTTGGATGATTTTGCCCCCAAACTGGAGGCTCTGGCATAGCTTGCCGAGGCTCCAGCTCCTGATGGGGTGAAATAAGCCCCATTCAAAAGAAGGTCACCTTCTGATCTCCAGTTCCATCCATGCCATTTTCTTGCATCTGTATCCACCCTCTTTGTAACCTATATAAATATATATATATTTATTCCAATATTTAACATCAAAACTCAAAACCTACCTGCCCCCAATCCCCATTTCCTTATTCGTAAATCTTGAAGGTAAGAATACCCACAAGACTTTAATACCCTATAAAGAAGGGTAGTCAACATGGTATTTAAGAAAAGAAAGAGAAGGGTGGGGCATTGAATTAATTAAGGACACGAACCACGTTTTAAAGTTAGATCAGAGTGATAGAGTAGTAGAGTACAGTATAGGTACCTCTTTTGCAAAAGGATTGACAGGGGCAAGGTATCTGTTGCCTTGGCTATTGATGGTGGGGCTTGCACTTCCACCAATAGCATACATCTCCCAGTGAGTGTAGTCATTGTTCACCACATGGAAATACCCATGTCTGCATCTGCACACCAAAATTCCATCAGACCAAACTAACCCACTTAATATATCTCAAACAGATATAATATACATGAATAGTGAATTAAAATTCATTCATTGGTACCTTGGCATTCTCTGGATCAGACCTTTACCAAAGTGGTTATAGGCAATGGTCACTTGCATCAGCTTGTCCCTCACATAAGAGTCGCTATGGCCCAACAACATCACCTGTTTTACCATCAATCAATTATTAGACAGCTTTTTTGATGCTATTTAGCATACCCACCTTTAAAAAAATCGACTTTAGAATCTAAACTGTTTCCAATTTTTTATCCTAAGTTTTTATAATGTAAAGATCCACACACCTCGTTGTGGTGAGCAAAGTGGTTATTGGAAATGGTGATGGCCGTTGAGCCCATGACAGCGTCCACGAGTCCGTCGGCACAGTGAGATAAAGAATTATGATCGATCCAAATATGGCTCGACCCAAAAATGGAGATGGCATCACCATCCGCCATTGTTCTCCAACCATAATGGGAAGGAGAGCTTCTGACCAAGGCGTTACCGGTGGGTTTACAGTCGTGAATGTGTAAACCATGAATGATGACGTTAGTAATGAACTGGAGAGTTAAGCAAGCTCCATTAGCAATGTGGACATTGACTCCACGGGCATCAATGGTCTTGAAGCTGTTCATGATAAGTTCTTGCTTCAACTGGATCACCATGTCTCGTTTGAACACAATCCACAACGGAGCATCTTGTATGACAGCGTGACGAAGGGTGCCGGGTCGTGGGTTAACGGGATCGTCGTCCCTGGAGTCAGTGACAACGTAAAAACGACCTTCACGGCCTCCAATGGCATTCCGGCCAAAACCAATGCCACAGTCAGCAAGGCGCTTTCGGTTGCGCTGCCAGTTTGGGTCACACCGCCAGCAGTCATCAATTGGATTACCAGTCCCACATGAAAAATATCCCAGTTTCCTCCTCTCCGTATGGTTTCTCATTGTCCTACACAATATTAATGTCACATACTACACATATGCGGAATCCCATTAAATTATTCTTCAAAAGAGAACTTAAGAGAGAAGGATGCATTATCATATATTGGGAAGAAAAAATCTAGTCAACATGAGATTCCAATACTATATCCGAAGGTTTTTGATCAAGATCTTTTAACATAAAAAATAGACATTATTTTTAGCATATGAAATCGGTCTTGTTTCATTGAGTTTGAAAGTGGAACAAATGGGTAGCAGTTAGCACAGCAGTCCAAAATCAAGATTTACGGATATTAGTAGAAAGACATATTTGGTTTTGTCCTTTTCAGATGGACCAAATGGTGGTAGTCTAACAGTAAAGGGAGGCCACAAGAAGGTCGAAGATAGCTTTCTTTCTGTTTAGCAGCACATGGGGCGATAGTGTGTCACATGGCAAAGATAAGCTTGTTCAGTACCAAGATTATTGGAGGATTTGGATGACTTAAAGAAACCAGTATCACATGGACGTATGCATATAGCTTACGAATCGAATATTTGGGAACATAGCGACTTTATCCCTCATGGTAATATTTAAAAATTAAATCAATTTCTAATACACCAAAAAGTTAAAAAGCACTAAATCGACGCTGCGTAACTATACTATCTAAAAGGGACTGCAATAAGGGTAATATCGCCGTTTAACTGGGGCTCCGGTCAAAACTGGTTGCAAAGATGTCAAAATCAATCAGAAAACCCATGTGGGATACGATAGACTGATTGCATTTAGGTGGTGTTGTAGATAGCACTTAGCAGGGGCACATAGCGACTTTATCCCTCATGGTAATATTTAAAAATTAAATCAATTTCTAATACACCAAAAAGTTAAAAAGCACTAAATCGACGCTGCGTAACTATACTATCTAAAAGGGACTGCAATAAGGGTAATATCGCCGTTTAACTGGGGCTCCGGTCAAAACTGGTTGCAAAGATGTCAAAATCAATCAGAAAACCCATGTGGGATACGATAGACTGATTGCATTTAGGTGGTGTTGTAGATAGCACTTAGCAGGGGCACATGGGGCTTGCTTCTTTTCTTATAGTAAACTTGACCATGGGGTAAATGATGGTTAATAAAAACTACATACCCAATAAAGGAAATTCCTTATAACCCATTTGTTTTCTTCATTGCCTTACAACAAGAAGAACAAAAACAAGAACGGGATAAAGCCCGGACCCGGACCCGGATTGTAACAGACCCGAACTGGCCCGGCTGCATTGATAGATTGTTGACCAAACTGGATTTTTTTACACCAACATCGATGTATTTGTTCTGTGATCCTTTAGTCTAACGAAAATACATTTATCCCATTATTCCTAAATTTTACTGGTGTGTATAGAGATCCTTACATTTCAACGTGGGAGACGACCTCTCCAGGATCTTGAACTGCATTTTCATTCAAAGCTTCCATCTCCTTTGCTCTGCGATGACAGAGAACTCAAATTAAATTTACGAAAAACAAACAAATTAGGCTTCTATTTGACCTTCATCTGTTCATCATCCACCAAATATAACACGAACAAACGAAAAATAACGCACATCAAAGAACAAAGCACCTGGGTACCGCTATTGAAGTGCTTTTACCACTCTTGACTAGCTAGGGGCATCACATAATTACGCACAGCGTGTGGAGGGAAGAAGAGTAAATGAGACGCAAAAAGTACACTGTGTCTGTAACCAGTCAACACAGGAATTGATGTATGCGTGTTTTTTAGTGTGTGAGAGAGAAATACAACGGTGTTGCTTTTTTACGGTTATAACTGTCAAAAAGTGGAAAAAATAAAAACAAAAATAAACTGAAAACGGTTCCTCAAATCTGTGAAAGGGGAAATGGGAGGCAGGAGCCAATGAACAAGAAGAATCCCGAGATGAACAACGGCAATAAACCGTCCAGATTATATTAAAATCCAGTATCTCAGTGGTGGAGAATTTGTTTCCTTTGATGTTTTCTAGACGAACAAGCATAGTACAGTGGATCTGAGGGTTCATTACTCTTTGAAGAAGATGAATGGCTCAGACACGACTAAAAATACACCAACGTAAAAGAAATGCAGGTGCATGAACATCAGACAAAGTCGACTGGGTGTTGTTTGTTTTTACCTTGCCGCCATTGATGAATTGTAGGAGCTCTGGCTTTGCAACTGCTCTGTTTCCAGAGGGCTGTACCATTGAAGACAAATACAAGCTTATTATTTAGCTAAAGAATAACTTCAAGCCTAACGACCACATTCAACAAAATCAACGCACTGTAATCTCAAGCTAAATGACCTCTGGAATGTCGATTTTCTCAAGAGATGCGTTCATTTTGGATTACTTTATCAGAATTCAGAAATGTAGATGATAAGTTGCGAATATACAGAAAATTCACAATTCCGTACTGCAACGTTCCAAAAACAGAAGAAACACCAACTATTCATAGAGAGAAAGCAATACCTAGGATTTGTGGCACCATTTTTGTGCACGTCGCCGGCGGCGACGACCGCAGCAAGCAACAGTATCAGAAACACAGAGAAACATATAGCAAACCACTTCTTAGGTACCTCCATTGTCATCACACACACTCCACCTCCTCCTTTCACCGTCGAAGATTAAGTTACTCACGCACTGTGTGTTTGTGCGTGTTTCCGATCTAGACTCGGAGCAAAAAAAGTGCAATAGGAGGCGGAGGAAAGTGGAGAGTCAGAGCAGCAGCCTGAACGTAACGGCCTTATTTATAGACTGAAAGAAGAAGAAATTAAAAGGTTAACGACCGTTAAATGTAGACAGGTGCCACGTGTCCCTTTTCACCAAAATGTAAATATATATTTTTTTCTATGTATTTCATTTTCCCCATTATCTATTATATTATTTTTTATTTAATTTTATTAAATTAATATAAATCATCAATAACAATTAAAGTGATGACCGTATTTAATAACATCATCATGGTTTTTATTGAATAAATTTTATGAAAAAGTAAAGTATTTTAACTTGATTTTTATTTTGATAATATATTTTTAAAACTCTCATTTTGGTATCTATAATGTAAAGATTTAAACGTTTAAGTATTCGGATAACAGATTAATAAGCGGTTGAAGCATTGATCGGTTATAATGCTGATGAGACGATTGATGTGGTATCCAACTTAGTATTATTTGCTGATATGGTTAGTGACATGGATTTTTTTTTAAATTTAAAATAAGTCTTTTTTTAATCTAAAATTAGTCTTGAACCAGTTACATGAATACTTAAATATTTAAAATTTTACATCTTAGGTACCAAAATTAAAGTTTTGAAAGTACGTTATCCAATATAGAAATCAAGTTAAAATACGTTATTTTTTCATGCAATTTATCCTTTTTTCTATCTATTCTTTTTGGGACCAAATTTTAGTAGTATTTCTTCAAAGTTCTCTACATCGATATTGTTCATTATAAACAATTACCGAATTCACATCGTCATCAGCTTTAGCCATCGGTTTTAAAGTTTTCTTTCGGTTTATTTTTATCGAATGTGCCATTTCTACTATCATTTTGTTTGGTATTTTTAACGAATGTATAGCACCTTCATTTATTAGTTATTATACATTTCAGTTGTAGAAGTTGTAAATTTGGAATTTCTCAAGCTCGTTCAGATAATTTATTCATGTTCATCTGTATTGTTAGGAATTTTAGCGGACGTTCGGTTCGCAAATTCTGAAGGAATCTGATGGAATTGGAATGTTGAATTTCATTGACCAAATTTAATTCTTTCGTTTTGTTCATTCTTTTTCACGAAATAAATCTTTAAAATCATACAAATTCCACAAATAAATGAATTTAACATTTTTTATCAACTACATAGTATTTTGATGGAATGAAATTTATCTATTTCCATAATACCAAATATGTTATTAATCCAATATACCATAATCTCATAAAATCCAATATGACCATCGCCGACCAACTTCGACCACCGTTGATCTGAATCACCATTGGCCACCGTCATCTGAACCACTACCGATCTGAACCACAGCCAACCACTACCAATCTAATCCACCGCCGATCTGAACTACTACGATCATCGCCATCTGAACCACCATAGACCACCATTGATCTGAACCGCTGTCAACCATCGTCGTACTGAACCACCACGACCACCATCGATTTGAACCACCGCCAACTACTACCGATCTGAATCGCCGTTGGCCACCGCCGATCTGAACAACAATCGATCTGATCCATCGTCGATCTGAACCAACCCCCAATCAGAACCACCGTTGATTTTAACCACATCTAATCACCACCACCTGAAAGCGTCACAGACCACCACTGATATGAACCATTACCAACCCCTGGTGACTACCACCGATTTGAATCACTGTCGGACACCACTGACCACCAACAATTTGAACAACCACCGATCTGAACCGCCACCGCGATCTGAACCACCACTAACCACCTCCATCTGAACCACAACAGATCGCCATCGATCTGAACCACCACTAACCACCTCCATCTGAACCACAACAGATCACCATCGATTTGAACCACTGTCGACCACCGCCATCTGAACCACTGCAGACCACCATCGATCTGAACCACCGTGGACCACCACCGATCTGAACCATTGTGGACCGCCACCGATCTGAACCACAGTCGACCATTGTTGATTTAGTAACGTCGTTTAACTTATGGTTATACTTGCGTTGTGTATTTTATATTTTTTACATATTAAATAATTATTTTATTAAAGTATTTTTAGTTTAAAAAAAATAAAACTTTCAAAAAAGGGCATTTTGATTATTTACCAATATTTCATTTCGATTCCAAAGCTACATTGTGTAAATCAAACAGATAAATTTCAATCCCTTAACAGATTTCATTCTAATATCTATCAACCAAACAAATGATCAAACCTGACAATATTCTATTCTAATCTCTTCAAAGTCAAATTTATTTAACATATTTTATTTCATCCAAAAATATTATACGAACCAAACGTCACCTTAGTTTTAAAAGTTGTTACTTGGGTCATTTCTCAATTATCCCTTTTTTTGCTCTATTTATGAGTTGTGATGTAATTTGACTGGCTCATATTGTCTTTTTGTATTTTAACCTTTTATCTTAAAAAAATATATTTCACACTTTAAAAGAACAGTCCTAACCAAACATTCACCAACATTTACTTAAAAATCTTGTATAACACAATTATATCATATAATAAATATGTTCCACAACATATGCATTATTGTGTTCTGCATTGTCATTCACACATCTGTTTCTACTTTAAAAACATTCAATAATATTTTCTTAACAAAACAACTCGAAACGGGTATACGCTAACTTGTACAAACAGGGTGTCTTTACAATTAGAAACGGGTATACGCTCACTTGTACAAAAAGGGTGTCTTTACTATAGAAATGGGTATACTCTCACCTGTACAAACAGGATGTCTTTACAACTAGAAATGGGTATAAGCTCACCTGTACAAAGAGGGTGTCTTTACAACTAGAAACGGGTATGCGCTCACTCGTACAAAGAGGGTGTCTTTACAACTAGAAACGGGTATGCGCTCACTCG